GCTATGGGAGCATCCATCTATAATCCTAGCACTCAGGAAACTGAAGCCTGAATAAGGAAAAGGGAGGGTTCAAGGTCACCCTGAAGATACATCTCAGAGCCCTATCTCAAAAAAATAAATAAAATATAAGCCACAAGTTACTAAGGGTTTTACTTTCATCTTTTCTTGTCTCTTTAAAATGTAACTGATATTATTATAAGGCTTTACAAAATGGCATGTTCACTGGTGGTGGTGGCATGTGCCTTTAAGCCAAGCACGAAGGAGGCAGAGGCAAGAGGATCTCTGAGTTCCAAGACAGCCAAGACTGTTTCACAGAAAATCCCTGTCTTAAAAATCAAAAAGATCAAACAAACAAGAAGAGGCATGGTCAGCAGGGTGGTGGTGGCGCATGCTTTTAAGCCAAGCAGGAAGGAGTCAGAGGCAGGCGGATCTCTGTGAGTTCCAGGCCAGCCTGGTGTACAGACCGAGTTTCAGGACAGACTTCAAAGTTACAAAGAGAAACCCTGTTTCGAAAAAGGCATGGTCTCACTGTTCCTGGGCTATTCTTAACATCCCAAGCTCAAGAGATCCCTCTGCAAAGATCAATTAAAAATGAAAACAAAAAATCAAAACCAGATCCTTCTGCTTAAACTTCCAAAGTAGCTGGCATTATATGAATGTGCCAGTCTAAGCTACACAGCAAAACCTTGCCACAAAATGTAAAATAAAAAATAAGAGCTAGGTGATGGTGCATGCCTTTAATCCCAGCACCCAGGAGGCAGAGGCAGGTGGATCTCTGTGATTTCAAGGCCAGCCTGGTCTCCAGAGTGAGTTCCAGGACAGCCAGGGTTACACATAGCGGAACCCTGTTACAAAAAAAATGAAGAAAAAATAATGAAATGAGATAATTAAAATATAATTGAATCTGAATCTTTGGAATCATGGAGCTCAAATCCATACAAGCAGGTTATCCAATAAAAATTACATCTTGAAAGACTTTTTTTTTTGACACAGGAATCCCAACAAAATCCTGAATGAGAAAGTACTGAATAAGGCCAAGACTCCTGCCTCCATCCCCATTTCAGGGTATTTTCCACTGTATTTGATTATTGAAGTTCAGTATTAATTTCTCATTTTCTAATACTGTTTGTGTCCTGGAATGGACATGGACAATGACCTTAAACAATGCTAACAGGTTACATAATACTATTAACAGATTACCCCAGAGATAAAATTTAAGAATTGACAGCTTATCATAATCTTACTGCCTCAAAATAACAAAGGCACTTTACCATATTCATCTTTTAGCTCGGTTTTTGAGATGGGAGGTCTCAACATGCAGCCCAGGCTGTCCTGGAACATGTTACCCTCTTGTCTCACTTTCCCAAGTACAAAAATTACAAATGTGTATCACTGTATGTGGTATCTAGTCATCTTTAGACCCCTAACACAGCATGCAGTTTATTCGAACATACTAGGTACTCAATAAATGTTTACTTTCTAAAACAGAGCCTTTTCCCTCCTGCTAGCACTTGCTACTAGACTTATTAAATCAAGCAAAAACTGAAATCTCATTAAGTTACATTAGGAGTCTCCAATCATTAAATATAGAGGATATACTAAATAAATTAATGCACACAATGAAAGTTAAGGAACCATTTATTTATATTAAAATTATAAGTGCTACTGGTCGGTGGTGACACATGCCTTTAATTCCAGCACGAAAAAGACAGAGGCAAGAGGATCTCTGTGAGTTCAAGGCCAGCCTGGCCTACAGAGTGAGTTCCAGAATAGCCAGGACTGTTACACAGAGAAACCCTATCTCAAAAAACCAAACCAAAAAATTATAAGTGCTATACTAAATTAACTGGCATATTAATTATAATACTTGCCAACTGAAATGTCTGACTGACCTTTCGCCAGCATTATTTTGTTATCTTAGTTGGCCTGATTGAATGAAAGCAATTTACACATGATCTAGACTAGAATGTAGACTCCAGTTCAAAGTCTGCTAATAACAAACAATATAATTCTGAGCAATTCATTGTTTTCATTTTTAGCTCCTCATTAGCCTATCAGTAACAAGAGAACACCCTTTTTTAAGTTCTAGGAAATGACTACAAACCCTTTGAAGCTTTTATCCCCAACTTAAAACATTTACTATTTTTAAAACTTTATAATATGTAATGAGGACTGGTAAAGATGGCACAAAAAGCAAACACTTAAGTACCAAATAATGCCATGCAATATAAAAATTGTATTGATTGTGAGTCTGTCTGTACAGAGTTTGATGTAGCCCAAGTTGGCTCTGAACTCTTGATCATCTTCCTACAAAATGCAGAGATTACAAGTGTGAGCCCTGACTCTGCTTATTTTAGTATTTTATGTGTATAGGTACTTTGCAAGCAGTGTCCATGGAGGCCAAAAAGAGATGCTGAGACCCCCAGGGCTGGAGTTACAGCTGTCTTTGAGATACCATGTGAGTGCTGGGAATAGAACCCAGGTCCTCTGAAAGAACAGTCAGGGAGCTTAAACACTGAGCCATCTCTCCAATGCAACTTTGTTTTTGAAGCAAGGTCTCACTATGTAGCCCAGGTTGAACTTGAATTTGCAGTTCTCCTGCATTGATTACAAAGTGCTAGGATTAAGCCACCAAGTCTGGCTTTCTTTCCCTCTTCTTCTATTGGCATATATTTATTGTACAAAACAAAGGGTTATCTTATTTTTCACAAATTATATAATGTACTCTGCTCAACTTTTAACCTTTTCTTTGACATGTTCAAAAAAATCAAACCCAGAGCCTTACACATGGTAAGCAAGTACTCAGTATACCACGCTGAGCTACATACATCCCAATATAATTTGTACATACTTAACCTTTTAAAAAATAATTATAATCCAGAAAGATCCTGTGATTCAGATTTATCTACATGTCGTATGTGAAATATGAATCCTATAGCTTGCTATACTATTTGATAATCAGGAAGCTTACTATGGTAGACTAACCTTTTTACCATCTCACATGAATGGAGTAACAATAAGTGAAAATCAAAATAGAAACATAAATACCCAAATAATCAAGCCTGTTCTGTTAAGACAACATAAGCCACACAGGATTTTTACAGCACACATCATTGATATATAAATAGATATGGTAATAAATATTTATGTGTGCTTCATAAAGCATTCAAATAATAAAATTAAAACTTGTTTATAGTCAAACATTCAAACATCCATATGTTGAAGGCACAAGAGAAAAGCAAAGTGAAAAGTTTGCCAGCCTTCTTCAAAAGTAACCAGTGTTAATCATTTTTCCTGTTTATCTTTCAAGGATCCATGTGACCTAATCCAAGTAGATATAAACTTATGTTTCTGTGTCTCTAGGTATAAATCTGTCTGGTCTAAGATGTTCTCCATTCTTAATGGGGGAAAAGAATCCCAGGCACAATCTTTACATACATGTTCAGTACACTGACAATGGTCCAGGCATCAGCACAAGGTAGTATTATGCTGTACAGAAATGGTAAATAGAATATACTTAGATTTTGTGCTTAGAGGTTACATGAAGCAACAGGAGTGCAAAGGTCAGGGATCCACAAAACCTGACTTCTAATCTAAGTAGCCTTGTAACCTTGAGCAAGTCATGAAAGCTTGAGCCTGAGCCTTAGTTTCTGCTTTGTAAAACACAAGGATTGAGCTAAGCTCCTTCCCAACTCTAAAATGGCATAATTATTTCTAAGATGGCCGGCTCTAACAGTGTTCTCTTGAACTGGCTACAAAAAAAAAAAAAAGTATTAAGGAGAAATGAGAAGAATGAAGAACTACAGTAATCTCCAGTCTTCCAAAAGGAAATATCTATGACTCGTTCATCATCAAGGCACAGATGTAGTGTCACAATTGTACTTGAAGGTAAAGCAGTAGATTATGAAAATCTGATAGGTTTGTTTTCCCCAAAGTTTCCATTAAAACGTTTTGCTTTTCGGAGATGGAGAGAGCTACTGTTTAGTTTCAGCAATCGCCACCCCCTGTTTAAAAAGAGAAACCCCCTGCCACAATTCAAGTAAACTGTGGAGTTAAAAAAAAAAAAAAGAAAAGAAACTGAAAGTCAATTTGGCATTTTTCTTTCAGAAGTAATGCTGGGGAAGTGACCGAGGGTGGCAAGAATGAATTTCCTCCTCTTCGGCCCTCATTCTTTTGGTTTCACATACCAGAAACACACTATCCTGACCCAAACATGCCACAGGCATCAGATGGGAGGGGGGCAGGGAGATTGATCGTTATCTTTTTTGTTAAAATTATTTAACTTGATTTA